GTTGGCTCCAGGCATTCAAAATCATGCCCAGGAATAAGTTCTGGGAACTTGAAGAACACGAAGTGGCCTACAGTTGGCTCCGGGCATTCAAAATGTGGCCCGGGAATGGAGTTCTGGGAACTCGAAGAGCACGAAGTGGCCTACAGTTGGCTCCGGGCATCCAAAATGTGGCCCGGGAATGGAGTTCTGGGAAGTCGAAGAGCACGAAGTGGCCTACAGTTGGCTCCGGGCATCCAAAATGTGGCCCGGGAATGGAGTTCTGGGAAATCGAAGAACACGAAGTGGCCTACAGTTGGCTCCGGGCATTCAAAATGTGGCCCGGGAATGGAGTTCTGGGAAGTCGAAGAGCACGAAGTGGCCTACAGTTGGCTCTGGGCATTCAGAATGTGGCCCGGGAATGGAGTTCTGGGAGGTCGAAGAGCACGAAGTGTGCGACTGTTGGCTTAAAACGACCTTTGCGGCACCCTGTCCGGCACCCGCCCAGACCCCCCTGTGGAGTCATCTGCTGCTCTCTTTTGACACCATTAGAAACCTATCAGAACAAGCTGTTAGGTAACTCAGGCCCCGTGCGGATTCCAAAAACGAGAGTCACGAAAACAGGTACAAACACATGGATCGGCGACGAGCGCGCCAACGAAAGCCCGCGCCCGCGCTATTGCAACCACGTTAGAAAACCATAGGTTTACCACGGTCTTTCAATGACAGCAAACGGGCCTCTCAAGCGCGCGCGTCGAAATATTTCGAGCGTCCTGGCGCGCGTGCCGTCGCCAGAACCCCTTGCGAAAGATGGGGCGGAGTGCGCGCGCGCGTCGTCGCCCGCGCGTGCCGAGATCGCGCAACATATTTTGGTGTCGCAAGGATTGCAGAGACGAGTGCCCCGAACGCATATTAATTAAGACATGGTGTTACAACATCAGTTTTCAGTGCAAATGTTGCGCTCGCGGTTCTGCGGATACTTCAGGAAATCACCCGTTCCCCAACGTTCATCGCATTATGCCAAGCGGGCCTCACGCGCCGCATGTCGAGTTCATTCGGTCGCCTTTGCGCGCGCGCTGGGGGGGGGGGGGGCCGATCCGCGGCCGCTCGCGCGCGTCGGCCGCGCGCGCGTGCCGAAATTTCGTTAAATTCTCATCGGCCACGCGAGGACATCGTCATCTTTGCAGGCGGGCGTGATCAACGTCGGCGCCCTCGTTGGCCACGCCGTCGTCATCGCCACCATCGTCGCCACCATCGCTAATCTCAGAATCGCGCCCACCCTTGTCGGGGTCGCCATGATACCGCGCCCGCCCAAATTACCGACGCGCGCTAAGGTGCCCGCTGGGAAGTGCCCGGCGGTTAGCGCCACCGCGGCCTCTTCGGCCGCGCCAATCTAGTTGGCGCTGGTTCGCGCGAGCATGCGCGGGGTAGCGCGGCCGCAGAAATCCACCAGTCAACGCCAAGCACTCATCGCAATCGCCGCCGCGTGGGTTTTGCAAACCAAGTCTCGGGTAGATGGGTGGGACGTTTGCAAGGGCGTGGAATTTGTCAATTCATTTCTAGCAATTGCAGCGCGCATGCATCCCCGTGGAAAAAGTTTATGACAAAAATGGCACAGGGATGGAAGCCGAAACTATGTCGAATCGGACCGGGCGGGGCCCGTCGTGCCAAGTAACATCCGCCTGCCAATGTTACGGAAAACGCATCGTCGACATTGCGCGCTGCACGTTAGCCGCCCGATTGGCGGGGGCGAAACCGCATGGCAGAACGCGGGGCCGCCGCGCCAGCGGCCCTGCGAAGGACGAACTTGGAAGAGCACCCGGGCATTAAGCGGCGCCCGCGTCCCGATGTTGCCATTGGGCGCGCATGTCAAAAAGCGGCGCATCAATGGCCGGGCCAATGGTGCGCGCCTGCGCGCGCGCGGCCATCGTTGAAAGGCGGATATCACTTAATGGTCTTGTTTGGGCGTTGCCGTCTGCAGGTCATTCGCGATGATCGTCTTGTTGATTGTGTTGTATTTTTTTTCCCGGCCGCGCGGGTGTCGAACCTGTTTGGGCGCGTTCCAATCGCGGTGGCCGCAATTGCCAAATTGCGTAGTCTACCTCTGCCGTTCGGGCAGATGGAATGGGAAGCGGGCGGCCCCTGATGCGTAAAATAATGCCCGGGCGGCCGCCGCGGTCTGTCGCGGCCCCCCCCGGGAGGCCAGAGGGGGGGGGGCGCGAAGGAAAAAACGCGAAGATGTGCAGGGGGGGGGGGAAAACGATGAGGGAGGAGGTGCGGGAAGACTAGAAGGAAGAGGCGAGCGGGGATGCTGACAATGTCTCGGCGGAGGAGCGAGAGCTAAGCAGTGGCCGGCGATGTGGCGCGAAAGCGCGTCGTCTTCGTCGTGGCCGCCGTGGTCGCCGTCTTCGCCGCGGTCGCCGTCGTCTTCGCCGTCGTCGCGGTCGTCGTCGTCGTCGTCGTCGTCGTCGCCGCGGTCGTCGTCGTCGTCGTCGTCGCCCGCCGCTTCCCCTGCCACAACGGCGGCGTGCTGGGCCCAGGGGCCCAGGGGCCCAGGGCCCGCCCGTCGTGGTCGGCGTCGAGTGCAGCGTGGAGAAGGGCCCGTCGGAGTCTGGCGTCGGCCGCGCGGTCTGCCGGAGGCCGTGTTGGCGCATGCGGGAGAGCTTGTGCGGCAACTTGTCGATGTCTGGCGGAACGACTTAACTCGGGCTTGTGCCGGGCGTGCAAGGCAGAAGGTGGGATCGGGAGCGGAAAAGAGGGGGGGTGATGACTAGGGGGGGGGGGGGCGGAATATCATGGCGCGGGCCATGATATCTCCGCAGATTTCATGGCGCCTCTTCTTATTTCGTTGTGTCCCAGGCCCCCCGCTGGGCCGCGCACATGCCGCCGGTCATGATTTCCACCCCCCCCCCCCCTCTTGGACACCCCCCTCTTGGCCGCTCCCGATTAACGGTTGGACGCGGGCAGGTTCAGGCTCACTGCGTAAATGCATCTACGGGGCGCGCTTCTCACTGCCCTGGGGCCCGACTTGGCGATCGGGCGGTGGCAGGTGTAGCGTTAAAAATCACACTCGGGACGCACTTCGCGTAAAGTGGCGCGCCCCGGCGCGCCCACTTTGCGATGCGCCCCCCCCCCCCCCCCCCCCCGCGCTCCGCGCGTGAAAATAGGACGGGGAGCGCCAATCGCAAAGTGGAATTGTTCGAAGTAAAGAAAATATTTCCTGGTAAAAAAGCAGTTCCCACTTCGCGACGGGCGCTTCCCGTCTGATTTGTGCACGCACCAAACGCGGTCAGCCAAACAAAACAAATCATAAAGTGGGCGCGCCGGGGCGCGCCACTCTACGCGAAGCGCGTTCTGTGCATGAATTCACGCACTAAGCCCGTGCCCGCCCGATCGTTGAGTGGGATTGCCGGGCAGCCTAAACTGCGCCCCGCCTGTGAATTTACATAATAGAACCCTCCCCCCCGCGGGATCGTCAACGCGGTTCGTTGGACAATGTTTTGTAGGCCCCATTGGTCTCGTCAGTCCCACAGGTCCCCCCCGCCTCACAGGTCGCACAAATTTCACAGGCCCCAGACGTCTCGCAGGTCCCACGGGATTCGCAGGCCCCGCAGGTCCCACAGGTCCCACGGGTGCCACGAGTCGCACGGGCCCCGCAGGCCCCACAAGCTCTACAGATCCCGCGAGGCCCGCAGGTCTCTGGCAGGTCCTAACAAGGCCGACGTTTTGCGCAGGTCCCACAGGTCTTACAGGCCCCACAGCTCCCACAAGTTTCGCTGGTCGCACAGGTCCCACAGGTCCCACAGGTCCCACAGGTCCCACAGGTCCCACAAAACCAACCGATCCCGCAAGTCGCCCAGGTCCCGCGTGTCTCGCAGGTCCCACGAGTCTCACAAATCCCGCAAGGGCAGAAGTCTCACACGTCCACAGGACCCACAGCGCGGCATGTAAAAGACGAAAGGACCGCGCGGAAACCCAATCCCCGCGAAAAAATAAAACAAGAGTGGCACAGGGATGGGAGCCGAAAGTATATAGAATCCGACCAGGCGGGGCCCGTCGCATCAAGTGACATCCGCCTGCCAATGTTACGGAATAGCGTCGTCGGCATTGCGCGCTGCATTTTAGCCACCCGGCTGGTGGGAGCGAAACCGCAAGGCAGAACGTGGAACCTCCCGCGCCAGCGGCCCTGCGAAGGACGAACTTGGAAGAGCACCCGGGCATTAAGTGGCGTCCGCCTCCCAATGTTGCCACTGTGCGCGCAAGCCAAAGTGTGGCATATCAATGACTTGGCCCATGGTGCACGCCTGCGCGCGCGGCCAACATTGAAAGGCGAAGATCACTTAATGATCCTCCTTGGGCGTTGCCGTCTGCAGATCATTCACGATGGTCGTTTTGTTGATTTTGTTATAATTTTCCCGGCTGCGCAATGCATTGACCAGGTTGCACCACATATATTGCACAACCCATTTTACATACCGTTGATCGCACAACGCATCGTGTACAGTATAAAATCGATGGCTCATCTTGCGCCTGCGTGGGTTGCCCCAGGCGGTTGCATCATTGTTGCTGTTCCACATTGGTAGCACCACGCGGGTTGCTAGAAACACGCCCGTGGGGGCTCGCGCTGGCCAGTGCTGGTTGGCATACCATTCATACTTCAACCCCCTGTATAGGGCCGCGCCATCAAACACAACAGGTCCATGCAATTCTGCCGAGGCCGTAACGTCGCACGCCAGGTGGCCGTGCAGGAATATTGGACAGCAGCGTCCGCCCACCGAGCTTTTACCATCCGAAGCGTTCGGCTTGATCCCTCCGCCGCAACGCGCCGCGCAGCGATTCTCACGCTGGCGTTGTCCCTGGATTCTCCCCTTCCCCGCTTTCCGCGGACGGCTTGTGCGCACCGTACCGCTATGCACCGTGGAGCGTTGGGGCCGGGCATGGAGGGAATCCAAACATGGTACGGCGCATGGGCGCCATCCTCGTGCTCTCTTCCCCACCCCTCCTCCCCGCCGCTCTCCCCCTTCAGCCATTTTGTGTTCGGCGCAGCGTGCGCGCCTCGCGGCGCGGCCACTGCGACGGAGCAGCGTCAGGGTTCCGAGGCCCCGCCCGGGGCAGAGGACGGGGAAGATGAGCATGCCGTGGATTGCACCCTTCCAGTGTCACCGTCTTGCGTGCACGAGCGACTTGTGTTGGGCGCGTGCGCTTGCATCGTGTCCTGTTCTGCCCTGTATCGTTTCGTCCGCATTCCGTAGAAGTCGAAGTACGCCAAGGTTTCAAATCGACAGGACGTTCATGGATCGAGGAGGGCTTAATATCGCAGGGGCAGGGTGAAGGGAGTTTGGTTTGTGAAGACTTGCTTCCATGCTCGGACAATGTATGGGGAAGGATTTCGAATTGACTCCACGCTGCCAAGCGACCACGTTCTGCGATCCTGTGACACCGTCCTTTGCATTGGAGGCGCATGACGGTGTCAGCCAAGTTCACCGTTTTGGTTGCTCTCGCGGCTTCCCGCTGCAGCGCGCAAGCGCCAAGTTACGATTGCGACGCTGACTACGCCGATTGGAAGGCGTCATGGTCGTACGACAAGCAGGCTCTCGACCGACGATCCCTCTTTGCCTGGCGGTGCCGCTGCCAACAGAGAGAAGCGGACGGGAGAACAAGCGATCCAGCGAGAAGTGTTACGTGGCAGAGGGTGGTCGGGTGGTGGCAGGCGTTTCTATTCCACCAAGAAGACCCGCCGCCCAGATGGAAGGCAGGTTCACAAAACGGTAAGTTGATAGGGTTGTTGCCACCTTGTTGGGTGCACAGACCGTGATCGCTTCTCGGCCGTCAACAGGGAGCGCTGTCAGGCGTGCAGCTGTCGCCACTAGTCCAAGGAGGTGCAGTACTAATTGTATCTCGGATGTTGTCGATCACAGAATTGCCGTTGTCTTCGAGAGCTATGAAGCGATTAATCGTACAGGCAGTGAATGCAAGCAGGAGACAGCCCTCAAGAGCGAGGGCCGCATGTCACCTCTTCTTTCTCCCCGCCCTCGCATGTTCCCTCTCCCCATCCATCCTCGTCATCCTGTCTCCCTCATTCTCTTTCCCTCCTCCTCATTCCTCCCCCTCCCTTCCTCCTCCTCCTCCTCTCCTCCTTCCTTTGCACACCCCCTCCTCCTCATTGTTCGTCTTTCCTCTCCCCCACACTCCCTCCCCCGCCACCTCTCTTCCTACCCATCCCTTCCCCTCCATCCTCCTACCCCCAGGCATCCGTCGATATGATTCTCAGATCCGCGGCCCCAGAGGTCCTGACCGCTTCCCCACAGGGGCAGCTTTCCGTCTGGGATCCATGTTTGATGCTCTGGGCCCCGCAAGCGGCCCCTGGAGGCCAACATCCACGAATATGAGAAGCGGCGTGGTTGAGAAGAGGCAGAGAGGCTGGTCCTCTTGCTCCCCCTCCCGTCACCCCCTCCCTCCTCGGCCCTGGGGCATCTGATCGGGGCCCCACCCCCAGGGCACAGGGGGACCCACGGGCATCGGGGTTCTGGCCCGAGGTGCCGCCTCCAGCACGGCCTGGGCCTTGCCTCTTTGAGCCTCGGCCCGGGGGCACTCCTGGCGCACGTCGCGGCGCACATGGCAGTCCAGGCTGTGCGCCGCCCCCTCCTCCTCCTCCTCCTCCTCCTCCTCCTCCTCCTCCTCCTCCTCCTCCTCCTCCTCCTCCTCCTCTTCCTCCTCCTCTTCCTCCTCACAGCACAATAGTGCGTCGCCCCCTCCCGGGCCCAGCCAGGCGTGGTGCTGCGAGAACCGGGGGTCCGCCTGCAGCACGGCCGACGGGCCGGCCTTCGACTGCGGGGCCGCGCTGGAGAACTGGCAGAAGGCCTGGTCCGACAAGAAGAAGGCGGGGGCGGGGTGGCGGGGTCCGAGAACAAACGAGTGCAGCAGCACGGTTTCTCGAGGGGGATCGAGGGCGTGGCACGGTTTATCGCGAGGTCTCCTCCTCCCCGACTTGAGCAGCAGGGGAGACGAGACGACGGCGGGGGGCGGTCGAAGGACAGTTGTTCCGCGCCGCGGCGCGGCAGAGGCAGTGCGCACGGGCGTTCGAGTTGTCGGGGGCGCTCGACGAATTGTCCGGCTGCAAGAGGGGGCGCGCGGGGAGGAGGAGCGGTCGCAAAGGACAGGAACAAAGAGGGGACACACTCACGGATGACATAGTTTCGGGGATCGAAGAACATGTTTTCCGTTTCGGCGCGGCAGAGGCAGTCTTCAGCCTCGCGCGAGAGGGGGGTGGGGGGAGGGCGGGGTTTCTTAGAAGCACCCTTGCTTCTTAGAGGGCGCGGGCCGTATCTATAGATGTAAGGCCGGCGCCTTCTAAGAAGCAGCATCCTTCTAAGAGGCCCTCCCCCTTCCCTCCACCCCCTTTGTGCGCGCCGCCAAGAACATGTTTTCCGTCGCGGCGCGGCAGGGGCAATCTGCTCGCGCGCTCGAGTTGCCGGGGGCGCTCGGCAGGCGAATTGGGCGGTTGCAAGAGGAAGACGTGGCGGGGGGGTGCGGCCGCGGAGGGCAGGAGGAGAGGAGGGCACTCATCGCGGAAAGGATTTCAGGATGAGCGCGCCGGGGCGTCCAGCCGCGGATCGACGAACAAACAGATGCTTAAGCACGCGTGATTCCTCGCAGCTCCGCGCGGATTGCTTGGACCGCCGCTGGACCCCGTCTGGCGCTGCCCCCAGGCGCCGTCGAGCGCCAGGGGGGGGGTCCAGTGCAGATCCATGGTCCGTGAAATCCGCACGGGAATCTGGCTGTTATTGCTCATCGATCAGGTTCTTGCAGGAGTTCATTCCGAAGGAGGAGAGGCATGTACCGATGCCGCAACCATTCCTGCGTTTTAGCTTTCTCGGGCCTCGAAGGTGCCGCTACCTTTCTATCATTTGTGCCGCTTGTCGTGGCGCCCTGGGAGGCCATCGTCGCCCTGGCCTGGATTCGCTTGGAGATTCTGGTCAGAACGTACCCCGGGTTAGGTTCGGGGAAGAGCGGTGTCTATTTCTTTTGGCTTCCCACGACAAAGAGATAGGGCGGCGCGGAGCCGGGACTGATACCTCCGACGATTTGTTTTCTTCAATTGTCGGGCGTTCCTCGATTTCAGCCCTGGGGGGTAGTTTTTGCACCCCGCGGCCACCAAACAATAATGCGGGACGACAATCGGCGGCGAGCGAGGGGGGGAATTGACAAGGAGAAGGCCTTCTCAGAAAGCGGCGGGAGTTCTCGGGAGCCCTCGCGCCTTCTGAGAAGTTTTCTGCGTCTTCGGGGAAGGCGGAGAAAACTTCTCAGAGGCCGGGGGACTTCCGAGCCTTCTGAGAAGGCCCGTCCCTTTGTCATTTCCCCCCTTCGCTCGCTGCTGAGACAACACTCGGGGAAGCGGTCGGGGGGGGGGGCATCCGCGAAAAGAAGGCCCCGTCGCGACGCGGGTTGGCGGCCCAGGGGCCCGGCCCGCGAGGCCCCGAATCAGGGCACGCTTGCCGCCCACGGAGAACCAGCCGTGTCGCGTGCCGCTGGCGACCCACGGCGCAGCGGGCGCGGCCACGCCCGCACGGAACGCCCCCGAGGCGCCTGCGGCCCCGCGCCTCGCGGCCAGCGCGGGCCCTGCCCTGCGTGGCGGTCCGTCTCTCGCGGGGCGACCTTTGCCGCCACGCCGTGGCCGCCGCGGCGTGCCGCGGGCAGTGCGGCGCAGCGGGCGCGGCCGCCGAGGGGGCCGAGGTGCGGCGACCCGCCCCTCGCGGGCGTGGCACCCCGCAGTGGGACGTTTTGGAGCGATCTCGAACTTCTGCGGTGTCCTTGCGGGATCTTTGGGGACTCTTGGGGACCTCTAGAAGCCTCCTGGTGGCCTCTTGGGGGCCTCTTGGGACCCCTTCGGGGCCTCTTGGGAGCCTTCTTGGGCCCCTCCTGGGGCCCTGTCGAGGCTGTCTCGGGGCCCTCTCGGGCTGGTTTGGGGCCCTTTTGGAGGTCTGTCGGGCCGTCTGAGGGCGATCTAGGAGGCTTCGTGGGCCGTTGGGAAGCCGAAAAAGGGAAAAATCTTTGACAAACCATCGGAAAATCAATGAACTTTGCCTCTTGGGGCCCTCTTGAGGGTGCTCTTGGAGGCCTCTTGGGACGTTTTGCAGCGACCTTTGGGGGTATGACCGCTCCTTTGGGGTCGTCGTCGACCGTCTTGGACTCTCTGGGGTTGTTTCGGGAGCGCGCCGGAACGTCGGGGGCCCTCTGGGGCCGTCTTCGGGCTCTTGTGAGGTCCTCCCAGGTCGTCTGGGGCAGGCCCGGGGTGGGCCAAATCCGTTAGGTGTGGAGGGGGGGGGGGGGGCGCTTTTTCCGGGGTCCCCGGCCCTAGAACGACATATGAATGTGAGTATGCGCACAGGTCAATATACTCTGCGCACAGGCATGCGCATAGGCATACAGTATATACTTCGCCCCGCGCCCACGGAGCGCCCGCCGTGCATGGCACGGCTGCCTGACCGACCTGCCAGGAGGAGCGCCGGCGGGCCTGCCTGGAGCACTGGCCACCTCGGCGGCGAGGGCCGGCGGTGGCTCCGTGCGGGCGGAGCGGGAGCAGGCGCGCCGTGGGATCAGCGTACGAATTACACCAGAGAGAAATCCCAAGCAGTGGATACTTTGAGACGGGATCGATGAAGAGGTCGCCAAGGAGATCGACCGGGGACCCGGGAACCCGGGAACCTGGAACCTACCGAAATCGTACCGGAACCGATGACCAGGATCCCAGGAACCCAGAGGCGGGAACCGGGGAACCCAGCAGGCCACCAAAATCGACGGAAATTTTGGCCAAATCTTGCCATTTCCACTCGGCCCCCTTCAGTGCAAGCACTGATCTGGGAATTATGTAGATGAGCTCTGCGCGGACATTCGAAAAGTTCAGAGGTTGCATGGGGGGTGAGATCGAAGTGGAACGGAGAGCCCCCTTCTGGGAAATCGGTTTCGTGTTCGCGCGTGCCGTGCGGCAAGTGGGCGGGCGAGAGGAAAGTCTCCTGTGGCTGAGGCGCGGCCGGACCAAATGATTCTCCCTCCGGCAAGCGGTGGCCCGCGGTGTCCCGCCGGTGTCCGGCCGGTGTCCAGCTTGTGGCTGGGTCCGGGCTGGACCAAATGATTCTCCCTTCGGCAAGCGGTGGCCTGCGGTGTCCCGCAGGTGTCCGGTCGGTGTCCCGCTGGTGTCTCGGTGTCCCGCTGGTGCGACAACGATAGTGAGACCGATGACGAAATCGATTGTGAGACCGATAGTGAGATCGGTAGTGAGACCGATAGTGAGATCGATCGTGAGATCGATAGTGAGATCGATAGTGAGATGAATAGTGATATCGATTGTGAGATCGAGTGATATCGATAGGGAGGTCGATCGTGGGATCGATCGCGAGATCCAGAGTGAGATCGACAGTGAAATCGATCGAGTGAGATCGATAGTGAGATCGATCGAGTGAGATCGATAGTGGGATCGACGGTCCCAAGAGGGAGCGGCAACGCAACAATCACCGCTGTTGCCCATTGCTGGCCCCCTTCCCCCCCCCAACCTCCTGATCACCCGCAGGATGGTCGTATAGGTAAGGTTATGCCACCATGTGTTTCTCTACTTCCGTTCCTTGGTTGTTCGGGCATCCGGGAGCATGCCAAACAATACGCTTAACCATCGGGCACATCGGGAGGCGCTGCTTCCTGAGCTCCGAGCCCCTTGTGGCTGGTGCTGCTTGTCGCCGTCGTTCGAGACTGCCTTATCTTGTTCGACGCGCTGTTACTTGCTGCTGCGTGCAGCGTGCCCCTGTTTTCGGTCCCACGCTTCTCGTCCTTCTCCACCTCCCCCTCTGCTGCTTCGCTCTGCCTCCTCACTGCTCCCCCTCCCTACTCATCTTTGCTCTCCGCCCCTCCTCCGTCTCTTCGCTTCTTCAAACAATCCATTTGGTGGGGTTCGGGTGGCATGGCCGTCGTGCCAACCCGCCTGACCGTTTCAACCCCGTGGTCGTGCCCACCCGCCTGGTTGTTGATAGCCCGCCTGGCCGGTTCGACCCAGCTCCGTGTGGGTCCCCCGGCGGTCTCGCCCAGACGCGCGTGCGGGCGGCCTCTGCCGCGCTGCGACGCGAAAGTGCTGGGCCCCCTGCAGAGCGAGAGAATCGCTCCACGCCTCCCGTCGAGCCCAAACGCCCAGCCTCCGGAGTGTGGTCTGATGTGGCTTCTCTTCCCTGCCATCACTGGCCCCGCCCCCTCACGGCGCGCCCCCCCCACACACGGCTGGCCCACCGCCTGCGGAGCCGCCCTGCCCTTCTGCTCTTTCCCCCACTCCGTGCGCGGACAGAGCATCGTCCTGCATATGTGAGCGCTCTCATACTGCAGGCAGTGGAGCACGAAGACGCAGACGAGATGAGGAGCAGGGGCAGGGAGGCGACGAGGAGAAGGATGCGGAGGAAGAGCAGACGCTTCAGGCCTGATGGGGAAGAGCTGTGGAGCGGGTGGAGCCTCGAGGAGTCGAGTAGGGGATCGACTACATAATTGTTTTACCACAAGCTTTATTTCCACGTCGACTTGTCAACGCAAACACGTAGAATGCCCGTAGATCTATAAACGTTCTACACACATGTTCGTGGATCCGACCAGAACAATCAAGTCTGGGGTAAATCAACCCTGTAGTCGATCCCCTACTCGAAGGAGGGGAGGAGGGGAGAAAGAAGAGGGATCCAGTTCCGAGGAGAGGCTAACAGCCTCCGCGGACAGTCAGGGGGTAGGCATCGGTTGCTTCCGCATCGGGCGCGGCTGGCGAGTTGCGAGAAGGGGCTCCTATGATATGGGGTCTTGCGCGGACAGTGCTCGCAGGACAACGAGTGCGATAGAGGTCTGGAAGGTGTGGGGTCGCTCGTCAGAGGGAATGCATCGGTTGCTTCCGTGTTCGGTGCGGCTGTTGATTTGCGAAGAGGGGCTCCACCTTTGTGGGGTCTTGTGTTGATGGCAGGCAGCAGAACGTCGACTGGAGGAGCAGCGGTAAAACGAGTGGGGATCCGCACGCCAAGAGGATGCGATCAATCGCAGCATCGTGACTCGCGGAGGGGAGGCCCACTGCTGCGAGGTGACGGATGGTGCGGCAGGCTGTGAGTCCAGAAGCATTATTTCTAGTTCGATTGTAGACGCTTCGCGGAAGCGCACCGCCTTGCTGGAATGGTGTCGATCTCGCACGTGGGAAGTGACGGGCCGCAGGAACAGGTGGCCGTGATTAGGTCGCCTTCGCAACGGGCTCGTTAAATATTGGTGCTTCCACGCTGTGACAGCCGCGGTTTCAAAGTAGTGCCAGTCGCGCCAGTGAATTTGCGGTTCCAACATATTTGGGCGGGCGGATGGGCGAATTGCTGTGTTCAGAGCGCACGCTAACATCACGTACGAACCCACATATTTTCAATATTTCGAACAGGTGTCTGACAGTTCACATGTGGCGCCATGGCGCAGAGTTGATAGGTGTACACAACGTGTCTTGTCTAGTGGATCTTATTGAATCGCTTCGTTCAATACGCTAGCACACTTTTCGCATAGCTGTCGGCTGGCAGAGTGGTCTTTTTTATGTGCGGAACCGCAGGGGCGGGGGCTGTTTTCTTGAGGCGTTGCAGCTCGCGTTGAGCGGCGTCAGGGCGATTTTTGCTGACCTTTTGGGGAGTTGTCGGGTGAGTCATTTGTTTTTGTCCAACCATCCTGGGGTGTTGAGACATCGTTTTGAGCAGACAGCACCCGCGTTCCTCCTCTCCTCTCCTCTCCTCTCCTCTCTTCTCCTCTTCTCCTCCTCCCCCTCCTTCCTCCTCCCAATCCCTGCCTCTGCCCTCCGCATGTCCTCGTCGTTGTCGTCACCGTCATCACCCAGCACTGCGCTTCGTGGTCCCATCGGGAGCTCCACCGAAGGTCCCACTGGCGCAGTTCGAAAGCGTCCCCCCCACCCACTACAACATTTCGTGGCCCCATCTGGGGGCTCCACCAAAGGATCCAGTGGCGCAGTTCGCATGCTTCTCCCCCACCCAGTACAGCGTGTCGGTCCCAGTGGCGCACTTCGCATGCGTCTCCCCCATCCAGTACAACGTTTTTGTGGCCCCAGAGGGAGCTCCACGGAAGGTCGCAGTGACACAGTTCGCATGCGTGTCCCCCACCCAGTACAGCGCTTCGTGGCCCCATAGGGAGCTCCACCGAAGGTCCCAGTGGCGCAGCTCGCATGTTTCTCCAGCACCCAGTACAGCGTTTCGTGGCCCCAGGGGGAGCTCCACCGAAGGTCGCAGTGGCACAGTTCGCATGCGTCTCCCCCACCCAGTACAGCGCTTCGTGACCCCATCTGGGGGCTCCACCGAAGGTCCCAGTGGCGCTGTTCGTATGCGTCTCCCCCACCCACTACAACATTTCGTGGCCCCAGAAGGAGCTCCACCGAATGTCCCAGTGGCGCTGTTCGCATGCGTCTCCCCCACCCAGTACAGCGTTGTTTTGGCCCGAGATGGAGTTTCACCGAAGGTCCCAGTGGCGCAGTTCGCATGCGTCTCCCGCACCCAGTACAGCGTTTTGCGGCCCGAGATGGGGCTTCTCCGGAGGTTCCAGGGGCGCAGTTCGCATGCGTCTCCCTTGCTCACTGCACTGCTTCCTGGCCCCATGGGGAGCTCCACCGAAGGTCCAAGTGGCGCAGTTCGTATGCGTTTCCCCCGCCTTGTACAGCGCTTCGTGGCCCCAGGGGGAGCTCCACCGAAGGTCCCTGCAGGCGTCTCCCCCGCCCAGTACAGCGCTTCGTGGCCCCAGAGGGGGCTCAACCGAAGGCCCCCGTGGCGCAGTTCGCACGCGTCCTTTCCCAACCAGGACAGCGCTTCGTGGCCCCATAGGGAGCTCCACCGAAGGTCCCAGTGGCGCACTTCGTATGCGTCTCCCCAACCCAGTACAATGTTTGTTGGCCCCATCTGGGGGCTCCACCGAAGGTCCCAGCAGCGCACTTCGCGTGCGTCTCCCTCACCCAGTACAGCGCTTCGTGGCCCCAGGGGGAGCTCCACCGAAGGTCCCAGTGGCGCAGTTCGCATGTGTGCTCCCCCGCGCATTACAGCGCTTCGTGGCTCCATAGGGAGCTCCACCGAAGGTCCCACTGGCGCTGTTCGTATGCGTTTCCCCCACCCAGTACAATGTTTGTTGGCCCCATCTGGGGGCTCCACCGAAGGTCCCAGCAGCGCACTTCGCGTGCGTCTCCCTCACCCAGTACAGCGCTTCGTGGCCCCAAAGCTCCACCGAAGGTCCCAGTGGCGCAGTTCGCATGTGTGCTCCCCCGCCCATTACAGCGCTTCTTTGCCCCAGAGGGAGTTTCACCGAAGGTCCTAGTGGCGCAAGTCGCATGCGTCCACCCCACACAGTACAGCGTTTCGTGGCCCATAGCGAGCTCCACGGAAGACGATACCGACGATACCCACAATTGCGGTATTCACAACTGCATATGGTTGGGTTCTCCGCCAGGCCAGTTCGCGGGGGTTCTAGGCGTTCGGCTGTTCGGCGGGAGGCAGGACAGCATCGAACATTACGCGGTCTGCCCTTTTGCATCCAGGTTGAGAGAGCCTCTTGGGGCCTCTCGGGGCCTGCTGGGAACCTCTGGGGGCCGCTAGGTGGCCTCTTAGGGGCTTTTTCCGGGCCTCTTGGGAGCATCTTGATGGTTTCGAGGGGCCTCTCTGGGGCTCCTTGATGGCTTGTTGGCACTTCTTGGGTCGAGGCAACTCTGAGAGGCCTCGAGGGGACCTCTTGGGCCGTCTCGAGGCCATCTTGAGCCCTCTTGCAGCGTTCTTGGACCGTCTTCGGGTCCTCCTGCATCTCTCTGAGGCAGTCTTGGGGGCATCGTACGCCGTACTGGAGCCATCTTGAGCGCTCGTTTAGCGCTCTGGGATGCCTGGAAGCCCGCGCCCTGGAGCAAAACCATCGCTGATCCGAGTATGCCGGGACCTTGCTGGGACGTTGCCAGGTTCTTTTGTGTTTTTTGTTCGTCCAGGGACCCCCAGGGGCGACCCCCCGCGCGCGAATTAGTTAGATATAGAATCCACCTGTTCCAGGAAATCTTAGCAAGCTTCTGGCCCGTTGGGCCGGTAATTTCGCACCCTGGTAGCGGAGTCGCATATATTGATTATTGGCCATCGGTCGCCGATGCGGAATGGAGACCAGCCGAGTAATGATAGTTCAACCGGTTTGTAAGAGAACATGCAGAGGCGATGTTCGTGCGTAATTTGTGTAGAATTGTGCACCTTCAAGTGCGTTGCAGGAGCGCGCTGCAGTGCGTTCAAGAGATCTCCGTGCCCGCTGACCTCGTGAAATATTGCGACGCGCTGTGAAGTTTAATCTTGCGCGTCGTCGAAGACAGGTGCTCGTTCGGCCATGCGCAGTGCATGTGCAACGACAGACCGTTCAGATAGTAAACAATAGATGCGCACATGTGGCCTTCGTCGAGGCCCCTGGTGGTCAATTCAATAGTGCTCCTATTAGTGTTACTTGTGCTTGTAGACGACAGGCCGCGCAGCTTGAATAATCTGCACTGTGCCCGCCTGAGTACGATGTAAGTACGCATCATGGAAGAAAGTGAATGCGTGCTGGGATCGTGTGGAACTACTTTCTGATGGGCAGCGCCCTGTCACTAGAACGCACCGTACGGAGTCTACGATTACAGGTTTGAGCGCACGACTTGGTATTTGCCAGGAGAGCATCCGTCTCAGAGGCCTTCGCCATCTCGCCGATCCAGAAGAGAAACCCGATGGGCTCGTCCCATCCCGCATCCCCTCAAAAGCTGTATGTTGGATTTTGTGGGAGTGGGGGCATGCTGGGGTCATGTGTCCAGGCCTCCCTGATGGGGCCCGAGTACATCGGATCGGATGATCGCGCCGCATTGCCGATGCATCGGCTATGCGGCTCGATGTGGAGCCCGAGTTTCTCCACGCCGACGTCACCGATGCATCGGCGACGCATCGGCGGTGATGTAATGTTTGAGCGGCTCACGCCTTACGAGCCTTGCCTGACAAGCGAGGGTCGGTTGGCTACTGAGTAGTGCGACGCGCGCCTTGCGCGAGCCATGCTGGTCTCCAGAGGCGCTGTCCCTGCTCTGGAAGGTACCGCCAGACTACCTTTCTCGCTATTATGGGCGGCGTGTGCCAGATTCTGCCATGTCAGAGGAGAGTTGGAGCCCTTGGGCGGCCCGGCATGAAGGAAGCTGTCGAATAAGCAGGTTGTTTGGTAGGTACGTGACGTTAGTCACCTCTGATAAGCCAGTCGACATCTTGTATGTCTTCCGGATATGGATGGGTGCATCATCCGTGGATGTGGCGACGATTTCGTCGTCGATATGTCTTCAGCTTCATGTTGAGCACTGCTGCCTAGAAGTCTGTTGCTACACTGTATGACCGTTTGTGTGCCTACGCCAATTAGCACAATCAGCAATTGCAGCATTCCGGTGAGAGGGCGCCAGTATAGAGCAGGATGACGATGCACGCTGGAGGAGAGCGGATGGTCCGAATTAACGATTTGGTTAATACCAGTGGCAGGAGCGGGGACGAGCTTGCCAGTCGGTGATTCCTAATCGCTGTAGATTCCGACGTTCAATGCCCCGCCTTGCACATAGACTTGTTAATGCGACGTGCATATGCCATGTTTGTGCGTGTTCACCTCGCAAGCTAGTAGCTCTTAATCGGAAGCACGCTCTAAACAAAAACCGATGTACGTTCTCTCGTCAGGACGACGTATGTTCCTTCGAGGCCCACTTGCCCCCAGGGATCTCTGCATACGCAGCCAGAGCAGAGGGCAAATACTAGAGTGACCTGGGCCGAGGCGACAGTACGAGATATATTGTTGGTGGTCGTGTTGCTGATTGTCATTGGCGTCTTGGTGTTCTTGATCTACAAGGCGCGAGACAGGGGCCACTGAAGGGCGCAACAGTGGAGGCTGCGGATATTGAGGATACCGAGGATGGAGTAGGCAAGGCAGGCACCTGGTTTTGAGCGCGGGCTTTGAGTTAATTGAACATGTGTGCCGCCCCCGTCCTTCAGACAGCGCGTGCCGCCGTTCATGCCGTATGATTTTGCCGGAGCAGCAAGTGCGGAGCGTCAGGATAAGATGATGTGGCTCGAGGATATCCAACACGCACCGTGCTCAGACACAACCGCTTCGATCGTTTGTACATGACTTCTTCCGCAGCTACGGGTTCTGCTTGTCGACGCCGTGCTCTCCTGAAGCCAGTAGCTCAGCATTCTCATGTGGCCCTGTACAGTAGACCCCACCCCCTTGGTTTTCGCAGGTGCCGTCTTCCATCTGCATTGAGTTGGCTTCGGGAGGGCTGTCCATCTTCTCTTCATGAAAGTACCGACCGCTTATGTTCTGGCTCAGCCGTCACAGGGGAGATGCGAAGAAGGAGGAGGAGGAGGAGGGAGATGAGGAGGAGGAGGAGGAGGAGGAGGAGCAAGGGTAGAGAACAGGGGAGGGTATCAGCTGCGACGGCGCAGGAGGGCGTCAGGCAAACGTTCGCCGAGGGGCGAGAATGGGAGGAAGGATGCCAGGCGATCTACCGGAGGCTCTGTGTAGTTCCTGGGTCGAATAGGGCCGAAGTACTCTGGTGGGACTGCGAGTCGCGCGAACGGCAGATTGAAACATGGAGCGTGTAATTCTGGAAAATATGAGCGTTCGCCACACCCCATCATCCCGAGTCTCACCCTCCTGTCCATATTCGTCCCACCACCCTTCTTCCTGCAGAAATGTCATCATTGTCTTCAACATCAGCATGATCATCACCACCTCCATCGCCATCCTCATGATGATTCATTGGCTTACGCCGCGCCGCCGACCCCTTGGGGCGGCAGGAAGAGTGAAAGACAGAATTCGCGGAACGCGCGCGATCGCTGGGCAATCTTGGGGTTTCGGCCTGTCCTGCGTAGCGTGTGGGGTTCAAGGGGGGGCCTTGTAGGGGATTGTTTAGAAGTTGTTCGTGGTCTTATGTGAGTCTCTTGGGGCCTTCACGGTGCCTGTCCCAGTCCTCTATTTCCATTTCCTGGATAGGCTCGGGGATCGTTGAGACCCAGCTGGCGTTGCGTCCAGCCAGAAGCTCGAGAGTGGACCCAGCTATGTCGACGAGAAGCTTCCTGAAGGCCCAGAGGGGGCTGAGAGCGCCCAAGAACTAGGACTTTCATGCCTTGAGCCTCGATCCACCCCGTGTTCCTTCCTTTGCGAAGGGGTGGCATCTGCCAGGGAGGTCGATCCTCATCCCGGACTTTCGGCGGTGGTCCCCGGCACCGAAAACGGTTCCTGGAGGCTGAATTCGAGGAGATACTTCGGGTGGTCGATAGACCACGAAACTCTGTGCGACATCGGCGGCGACGACGAAATCATCTTTCTTTTGTTTCCTTTTCCTCCTCCTCCTCTTCTTCCTCCTCCTTGTCCTTCTCCTCTTATTCTTCTTCCCGATCGAGGTAGATGCCCGCGGCAGTTCATATACATGTATGTATGTATGTATATATGTATAGTCAGAGACGTGAATACCCCTCGGCCCCCACTCGCCCGCCTGCGAATGCCCGCACGTGCCTCTGCATCCGTGCTGCTCAAGTCCGAGAGGCCCGCCGCGCGGGCGGCTCATGGACGGGCCGCCCTCGCTCTTGGCGACGTTCGCGGCCGCGTGGAGCGCGACGCTGGGTCCCTGCTGGTCGTGGGGCTGGGCGACGCCCGTGGCCCTGGCCTGGCACCCGCCGCCGCCGCTGTCTTGCGGTTCGGACGAGGGCTGCCCCTGCTCCTGCGACCAGGAGCTCCGGCGCATCATCGACCTCCAGGGCGAGGTCGTGACCCCAGGCGGAGGTTTGGGCGCTCCGGTGCCTGCTCCTCGCCGGGCTGCTGGTGCTCGGCCTCGCGACCTCGGGCGCCGGAGCGCTGGGGTTCCTGGCCGGCTGGTGCCGGCGCTGCTGCTGCGGCGGGCGCGGACGATGGCCCGAGGGGAGCCCTCCGCGCAAGGCGCAGGCAGCGGCCTCGCCAGTGCCTCAGCCGCCGCCGACGGTCGCCTTGACGGGCGGCGCCGGGCCGAGCACCCCGAGCCGACGCTATGGCTGACGTGCTGACCGTGGACATTGCGGACCCGCAGATCCTCGTGCGGTACGAGAACGATCCGAATGGATTCTACTGGCACCACAAGGTGCTCCTGTTCCGCGTGGACGGCGACATCTGGATCGCGCTGACTCCGGACCTCGCGCTCGTGCGGGTCAAGTTGCTGAACGTCCAGCACGAGGTGCTGGAGAGGCGGGCGCCGTTCCCGCCGCACTTGGCGAATCAGGTCTACGCCCACGACCCCATCGCGGGCGCGGCGCTGGCCGGCTACCGGCGCAGGGCGAAGATGCAGGGCCAGCTGCTGGGGGTCGGCCAGGTCGACGCCGTGGAGCGGATGATTTGGGTGATCGCAGAGGCGCGTTCGGCGAGGTTCGGCGAGGTCGTGGACGCTGCTCTGATGGACGACGACGCTCACGGCACGAGCTTCGACGCGAAGGGCGTGGTGGTACTGGGCGGCGAGGAATTCTTTGTGCAGAAGATAGCGGCTAGCGGCCTGGCGGACTTCAAGAAGGAGACGAAGATCCGCACGCTCGGCGACCACACGGACGACGCGGGGCAGCGGGTCCTCCACCTGACGGAGGCGGTCGCCTTCATGCGCGACACCGAGCAGAAGGGCTTCCCCCTGTCCGGCATCAGGAGCATGAAGGAGTTCCTCGACAGCGTCGGCGCCGGGCCAGGCAACATGATCTCGTACCAGGCGGAGTGGGAGCGTCTCAGCGGCGTAGGCGAGGGGTTGGCCGTCAACCACGTGCATCGGAACTTGTGTGAGGTGATTCGTCTCATGCATTCCTGGGACCAGGTCGACCATTCGATGATGGCGTCGGCCGAGCAGATCGTGCGCTGGCTGATCCAGACGGAGATAGCGGTGGAAAGGAACCCTCGGCACCCCGACTACAGTGGCCTCGACATAGTAATATCCGCGCCCGTCAACGCCGTGGGCCGCGCCTCGACCTCGAAGTTCAACTCCTGGGTCACCGACCGTCTCAAGGAGAGGGCCGCCATCTGGAAGCAAGGGCGGCTCTATCGTAAGTAGCAAAAACAGACGAGAAAGGGCGACGGCAAGAAGGGCGGGGAGGACGACGGAAAGCGCCCGAAGAAGAAGAAGAAGGGGAAGGACGCTGGCGCCGAAGGCGGCGCCGGCGACGAGGGATGACGCCTCTCGGGGCTGCGGGGGCGCCGGCGCTGACAGCCTTGGCGTCGACAAAGCCCCCCCCGCAGCCGACAACTACTTGGGCTCGCCTCCTCTGCGTCCGGAGGGGTCAGGGCGCGAGATCGACGGCGCGGAGATCCTTTCCCTTTGCCTCGAGATGCTGCTGCCCTCGGCGATGCATGTGACGCTGCGCGGCTACGGCAAGTTTTTGACTCGGCTCGGGCCCTGGGCCAGCTTGCCGCCGCCAACCTGAATTCGCGACGCGCCCAGGGGCGCGATCTTCCAACTGAGGGGCACCTCCGGCCAACCGCCGTGCAGCGCTGGATGCTCCAGAATGTCGCCCGGCGGGTCGAGGCGTATGGGGGCGGCCCTGCTGACCTTGCCGAGGAATCATCCCTGTCGGAGATCCTCAACTCTAGAGACCACTACGGCATGGAGCCCAAGAGCCTGGCCAGCTTCGAGTTTGACCAGGTCAAGATCCTGCGTCGGAAGGTTCACGTGCGACCCATTCGCCGCGAACTCCCTCCTGCAGCCCTCGGCTACCTCAGGCACTCAGCCGATCTGATCGAGATGGGCGAGACGGAGCTTGAGAAGGATCGAGCCGAGAGCGCGGGGTCCTCGCCCCACTGGGACCCCAAGCTTCGGCGTTCGCGAGACCTACAGAGGCGACTGTACCAGCGCTTGTGCCAGCAGGGCCTGCTGACCTGGCGCCGGCGGCTGAAGGGGCGCGCGGGCATCTTCGTGGTCAAAAAGAAGGATGGGCCCCAGAGGCCGATCATTGACGCCCGAGCGGCCAATCGGGCACATCGCCCGCCACCTACCACGCGACTGGGGTCCTCGCGCTGCATGGCCGACCTGGACTTCTCTGACCCCAGGCTGAGGGCCTCCGGTTTCGGCGGCATCGGCTCGGGGCTTGCGGCTAGCCCGCGCGGGGAGGAAGGCGACGTCGGGGACTGCTTCTACAACTACACCGTCCCCGAGCTCGCCTCTTGGTTCGGCTTCGAGGACCGCTTCGACACCCGGCCGGCCATGATCTGGGACGACTCCGAGAGGGCGGAGACCAAGGTCGAGGACGGCGAGGTACTCTACCCATGCATGGCCGCTGTCTGCATGGGCTGGTCGCGGGCCCTCTTCTTCGCCAGTGAGGCCGTGACTCGCCGTGTGGAGCGGCCCCTGGACGGAGGTGCTGACCAGATCACGCGTGAGATGCAGCCTGCTCCAGCGCTGAAGCCTTGCAAGTGCGTGGCCGGCGTGCGCGTGCACAACGAGCAGGTCGTCGGTGGCTGCGCGGGCGCCGCAAGGAAGCAGATGCACGAGATTGAGAAGAGCTTTTGCTAGGACAACGCACCTTTCGACGCGGGGCCTCGCGACGATTTTGAGATGCAGACACTGGGCCTGGCGTGCCGCCTGGCGCGACCGACGGCTGCGGCATGTCCCCCGCCGCGTCTGGCGGACCTACCCGGCCGGACATGCCCTGCTGCGCCGTCGCAAGCTGCACGGTCACACCTTACAGTGCTGGCTCGGCCACGTGGCGAACTTGAACCAGCTGTGCCCGGAGGCCATGTCCGCGCTGAACGTCTGCTACCGCTTCATCGAGGAGGCTTTAGAGCGCCCATGCGCGCGCGGCCGTCCGTGAAGTCCGGGATTCGTTGTGCGATGAACCTCCTCTTCCTGATGGAGGCCGACCTGGGCGCCAACTTCTCCAGCGAGGTCTACTGCGGGGACTCCTCCACCCGAGGCTACGCCCTCCACGTGACGAAGCCGAGCCCGGCGAGTTGCGCGAGGCCTGGAGATGGAGAGAGCGTTGGCGCTACCGCGACGTCCCCGTGCAGGAGGGCCACATGGCCGACGGCCTCGGCTACGTGCGGGGCGACGCGCCCGGCCTCGCGGCGGGGCCGCGCACGGCCTTCGGCCAGACCCTTGGGGCCCCAGCCGACGACCTGCGTCTCGGGTCGCCTCCAGCGGCCGCACCGCCGTGACGCCCTCGGGTCAAGGTCGACCTGGACGCGGGGATCCCTCGCCTGGCCGACGGCTGGGCCGAGCGGCAGCGCTGCCAGCTCGTCGCGGCGGACAGTTGGCGCTGGCAGGAGGAGCACATCAAATTGAAAGAAGATCGGGTGGCCTTGATGGGCCTGCGGCGTCACTGCCGCGCAGCGGGGCGGCTTGGCTCGAAGCTGCTCACCCTCAGCGACAGCCGGGTGACCGTGGGGGCCTATGAGAAGGGCCGCTCCAGCGCAGGGCTGCAGTCGTTGTGTCGGCGAGCTGCGGCCCACCGCCTCGGTGGACAGATCGCACGGCGGCTTCGCTACATCGAGACGGATCGGAACCCGAGCGGCCAGGACTCACGCCGCTGGGGCACCAAGCGAGTGGCGGGGCCGGAGCGCTCGCCGACCAGGCTGGGCGTCGCGCCGCCCCGCGCCCAGGGGCTGGACAGCGCGCCTGCTGGCGCGCCGAGCTTGTCTGTCGATCAGTCGGGCCCCGAGGGGTGCGAGACACAACCTCCCTCCTCCCCGTCGCCCCCATCGTCGGCATCGCTATCATCTGCTTCCTGCCCGACAATTCAGAGCGAGCCTGGTAAGTCAGTTTTTTGTTTGGAGCTCTTTGGTGGTCTGGGGCGGTTGACTCGAGCACGCAGGAAGGTTGGGCTTCCCTTCGCCGACCCCGTGGACATAAAGACGGTTGGGGGTTCGACTTGTCTCGCAGAAGCACACAGAACTTTATCTTGGATTTGGCCCGCAGCGGCCGACTACTATACGTACATCTTGGGACACCTCATTCGGTTTGGAGTCTCACACGCCGGGGGATCAAGAACCACGCGCGTGCGCGGGCTAAGGAGAGGCTGGGGGTCGATTTCGCACTCTTCACGGCCACCCTCTGTCACATATTATCGCGCAGGGGTTGCTACTGGAGCGTCGAGAACCCCAGAACTTCGAGGATTACCCGCCGTCGTCGAGGTGAATTTTCCGAGATGAGTATGTTCGGGACAACCTATCGGAAGCCCACTCGGATCCTGACGGACGCGGGGGCCCTGAGGGCCCCGGGGGGGCGGCGGCCCCGCGTCTCGCACAAGCACGCGGTCATGCTGCACGGGCGCCTCACACCCCAAACTGCCGCATATCCGTCACCAGTGGGCTCATGCTGGGCGGACATCCTGGTGGCCGCGCCCCCCCGTGGAGCGCTCGCCCGCGCCGGCGACTTCGACCCCGAGGAGCTCTGGCATGGCCACCTCCGGGCGGCGGGCCGTCAGCCAGCGCCTGGAGGAGCGGCGGTGCGCAGCGAGGACAACGAGCTCGCCCACGACGTCTGCAATGCCGCCGACGGCTTCCTCAGGGCGGACCCCGTCATCCAGTTTGGTCAGGACAAACGACCTCAGCGCTGGCAGGCCCACGCGCACTGGCAGGCAGCCGCCGCCAGGCAGCGGGCGACCTCGCCAGCCGTCGGCGGCGCGCCACGTGGGGCACCTCCGAGTCCAGAGGCGCGACACGCTGGTCATGGCGACGGTGACAAACGACACCCTCGAGCGGCACGCGGCGGCGGCGCACGAGTTCGAGGTCTATGCGAAGGCCAAGAAGCTCGACCTGCAGCCGCTGAGCCGCCTCGACAACTCCCTGTCCCAGTACTTCGTGGACCTGTTCGACGACGGCTTCGGCGCGTGGGAGGGCCGCAACACCTTCTACGGCTACAGGCTCCTGCGGCTCAAGACGACCGGCGAGGTGGAGCTCCCGAAGGCACTGGCCGCCTTGAAGGGTTGGGCCAAGCGAGCCCCAGGCCGCATGCGCATGCCGCTGCCCGACATCATCGTAGACGACATCGCGCTACCTGGTGGAGCGCGACCTGCCGCCCATGGGCGCCGCAGTGGTACTCGAGACGGACGCCTACCTCAGGCCCTCCGAGACGGTGGAGCTCCGGCAGGGCCAGATCCTGCCGCCCGCGCCAGCCGCGAAGCTCGGCGCGCACTTTGGCGCGGTCATCGCGCCCTCCGGGTGGCACGAGACGACGAAGACGGGCGGCCAGGACGACAGCGTGCTGATCGGGGACGCGGCGCGTCCGCGGCAGGCGAGCGCGATTAAGCTCCTTTTCAAGCCCAGGGCGCCCGACTCTCAGAGGCTGTTCAACTTCACCTTGCCCGAGTTCGAGCGCGAGGTCAAGCGCAGCCGGACCGCCTGGGCTACACGTCCCTCGAAGTGCGCCCTCACGTCTTCAGGCGCAGCGGGGCCTCGAACGACAAGGCCCACGGTCGCCGGACGTTGAAGGAGATTCAGAAGCGCGGCCGCTGGGCATCGTCCGCGTCGGTGGCCCGCTACGAGAAAGGCGCCCTCCTGCTTCAGCAGCTCAGGAAAATCCCCGTGGCCGAGCAGAAGATGGCAGCGCGCAGGAGCGCTAAACTGCCTCAGGAGTTGATCAGCCGCCTTCGCAAGTTGTGACGGGCCCACCAGTACGTGATACGGGTATGGGCGCGAGGTGCTTGAAAGGCTCGCACCTCGGCATGATCTTTTCTGTATGCTGCAGGCTTGAGCACTATGGATGCTTTTGTCATGGTGTAAATGAGAAATGGTCCACGCTATATCCTACAGCTTTGCTGGATCTGCATGTCTGGGCGAGGTCTTCAGGCCGTCTTGGGGTGTGTATCGTCAGAGACGTGAATACCCCTCGGCCTCCACTGGCTCGCCAGCGAATGCCCGCACGTGCCCTTGCATCCGTGCTGCTCAAGTCCGCCCACCCACGTCCACCCTCGAGCTTGTTGCGGGCCCCTCTTGGGGCCTCTTGGGGGGCCTCCTGGGGGTGCCTGTTGGGGGCCTTAGAGGCCCTGTTGAGCGCCTATTGGGCCCCCCATGGGGCTGTTTCGGGGCGGAAGGCTCGGATTTTTGATTCAGGCCCTTCGTCTTGGGCCCCTCATTGTGCCGTCTTGAGGCATTCTTGGACCGTCTTGGGAGCCTCTTGGGCCGTCTTGGCGCCCTCCTGGGCCGTTTCGAGCACCTGCTGGGGACCTGTCGGGCCGTTTTTGGGCAGTCTTGGGGGGCTCTGGGGTCGTCTTCAACGCCGCGAAGGCAGACAAACACGTGCATGTTACAAATGTAGATTTCCCCATAGGAATTCTACGATTTTGGACTCTTGAGCCCCTCTTGGGGATGCTCTTGGAGGCTTCCTGGGCCGTCTGGGAGGCTTCTGCGGCCGTCTTGGGGCCATCCTGGGCGTCGGGGCCTTTTTGGACCTTCTTGGGCGGCCCCAGAAGCTGTCGTGGACCTCCAAAAGGAACCCGAGAAGGGCCAGACCCCCCTGGTGAGTTCCGGCCGGACGCCCCCCCCCCCCCCTTCCAAATCGACGGGCCGGGCTCCGGGGGAAGGGGCTTGGGGAGGGGGAAACATCTCACGCGCCGATGATCCCCAAGGGGTCGGCGGATCCTTGTCATCGTCATACGCATAATCATTATCAACAGTATCCTAAGTTTATGACACTCCCTCTTCCGCAGCGGAGGAGAGTACAAAGAGGGGAAGTTGTCTTCAAGTTGCTCCAAAGTTGAGATTGCGAAACTGATGTTTTAAACAAAAAAGAAATAGCACATGCCACAGGCATCGCGTTGGGAAGCGGCGCGCTGCGCCCGTTGAGCACGCGGGGGAAGGCCTACGGGCCGCGACCTCAGCAACGCCAATGGGCCAGAGAAGCAACGGGAGAGAAGAGGCGCGCGGCCCCACCCGAACGAATATTAGCTCGGCCCCTCGCGGGAGGAGGGGCAATTCCCAGGGGAAGCGCGATCGCCGCAAAGGACAGCGATGGCAGCGCCAAAACTGACACTTGGGGGGCCCATCGGACTCGAAAGCGGCGTTTGAAACCCCAGCGGCCCAGGAGAGAACAAAAAAGAGAGAGAGAGAGAGAGAGAGAGAGAGAGAGAGAGAGAGAGAGAGAGAGAGAGAGAGAGAGAGAAAGAGAGAGAAAGAGAGAGAGAAAGAGAGAGAGAGAGAGAGAGATAGAGAGAGAGAGAGAGGAACACACAACACAAACTTAGAAACGAAGCGGACCCAGACGGGCCCCTGGAAACCAAGCGGGCCCGCGCAGACAACTGGCAAACGCATCTGGTCCGAACGAGCACCTGCATAACCCGATCGGCCCAAGCAAATGGTTGGAAAACCCCACGGGCCCGAAAGAGTGCGTGGACAACCAGGCGAGCGTGAGCATAGTCATGGAAAGCTCAGCAGGCACCAGCAAACAGCTGGAGAGCTCCACGGGCCCGAGCAGACAGATCGAACACCAGGCAGGCCCAAGCTAACGCCGCGCCGAAGCCTAGCGGATCCATGATGACCTCTGCGCGCTAAGCCCATTTTGGGCACGAGCCCCGTTGGAGGTGCCAGCCGCAATGCTCAGTGATGCGACGAACGTCGCGAGCAGCATTGCGACTAGCTGGCCTACAGGTGCCTCTGCCTGAGCCTCGAGCATGAGCCAAAATCAGCTACAGACAGGGAAGAGCGGGGGAATGAGGACGGGGAGAATTGCTCTGCATGGGGAAGGAGCAGGGAGTTGAGGGGAAAGGAGGGAAGGTGAAAGGGAATGAGGGGAGAGGAAAGTCTAACCGCGCTAACTGGCACCTAGCCCACCTGCATCTGGCACCTAGGATTCAACCCTCCTGGGGCTCTCATTCACTTGCTGGGGGGCATGGGATCTAATGGAATTGAACGCGCGATGGGGGCTAAGATCGCATGGATGGGCTGAGATCACATGGAATCCAATCTGCGGGGGAACGCGCCAGGAAATAATGTCAAGTCAAATATGACTTGCTCCTTTCTTCCTGTTCCTGCTCCTCTCTCTTCCTGGCCCCTCCTCCTGCTCCTCCTCCTCTCATTTAATAATTGAATATGCGCTTGCCTTGGACAAGCGCATCCCCCTGCCTATAGATGATGCCCCCCCTGGGGCCCTCTTTTTTTTTTTTTTTTGGGGGGGGGGGCGGCGAGGGCGCTGGCGTGGTGTTGCTAAAGCCCGCCGATGGAAAGTACAAGAAGATGATTGACGCGTCGTCTTGTTTGCCTTTGAACTCGGTACTGTTTCTTGCCCCTAGCCTTCGGGTATAAAAAGCATGGTAGTCGTCTCGTCGTCAGGGGGAGGCTCCTCATCCTGCTCCTCCTCCTCCCCCTCCTCCCCCCCCCCCTTTCCTCCCCCCTCTTACTCCCTATCTATGTCTCTTCCACCTTTTCTCCCAAATTCGCTGCGGCAACCAGGCGCCGTCTGTCCGCGTATACCTGAGCTCCGGCGGCGCCCGCGGCGGCGGCGCCCCGCCGAAGCTTAGCCCCCCGCCTCCCTCTCGCCCTTCACGCGAGCGCACCCGCGCTCGAAGGCCACGGTGACGGCGGCCCCCCCCAAGGGCAACTGGGCTTCGTCGAAGCCTGGGGGAGAGGGGCAGCAGCAGCAGGTGAGGGGGGGAGGAGGAGGGGCCAAGTTGGGGGGGGCGAGGAGGACGAGAAGGAGGAGGACGAGGAGGACGAGGAGGACGAGGAGATGGAGATGGAAGACAGGGGGGACAGCAGCAGGGGCCCCCCCCCTCATCACTCTGCCTGGAACGAACTACGCCCCCTCATCATCTGCCTCCTCCTCTTTTTCCCCTCCTCCTCTTCCTCCTCTTCACCTCCTCATCACATCATCGTCCCCTCTCATCGTCTTCCTCCTCCCCCCGCCTCCTCCTGCCCGTCCACTCCTCCTCCCCCCCTGTCCTCGTCATCATCCCCCTTGTCCTCTTCCTCCTTATCCTCCTCCCTCCCCCCATCCTCCTCCTCCTATTTCTCTTCCGACCCCTCACGTTCCTGCTCCTCCTCTTTCCCCCTCTCCTCGTCCTCCTCGTCCTCTTCCTCCTCCTTCTCCTCCTCCTCCCTCCTCCTCACCTCGTCCTCCTCCCTCCTCCTCCTCCCTCCTCGTCCTCCTCCTCCACCTTGTCCTCGTCCTCCTCGTTCTCGCCCTCGTCCTCGTCGTCGTCGCCCTCCTCCTCCTCCTCCTTCTCCTCCCCCCCCTCCTCCCTCCCCCTCCTCACCCCCCAGCCGCCCGCGAGCCCTGGTGGCGCCTGCCGCAGCCGCATGCCTTAGCGCCTCGCCCTCGTTCTCCCAGAGCTTCTCGAGTTTCGCGATGTCCTCCATGGCGCGCGAGTTGCCAGGTGGGAGGGCCTGGGGGCGGCTCGCGCGCACGAGGCGCACCGCTTGCTCAACCCTCATTAGCCCCATGGCGCAGAGACACACAGCAGCCACGCACGCCGACCGGCACTCCCCCTGGCGGCAGAAGATGAGCACCTGAGCCCCACGCGGCGCCGCAGCCAGGGTTCTTATCGCACCCCTCAGCTGCTGCGCGACCCCGCGGTAATTCCACGATGCTGGCAAGTGGACTGGGTCCCTTAGCCCTGCCGCCCACTGCCGCACCCCGCCTCCAGGCCCGGCGCCGAGGCAGTCCACCAGGATGTCCCAGTCCAAGCTATTAGCCCTATCCTGCACAGCCGCCACGCCGCCGAGCCACCAGTTCATGCCCCACCCCGTCAAGAGCTTCGATGGAATGAGATTATTCGGATAAGTCGACAGCCAGTGCACGCGCGGCAAGGTCGCGAGACGGCGGTCTTCCTCGACCACCGCCGCCCACTGGCGCCGCCGGTGCTCCGCGCTTAGCGCCTCCAAGACCCGGGTCTCCAGCTGGTCCTCGCGAGGTGGCCAGGCAGGGGGGGTGATGTCTAGCCCCAGGTTTGTAGCAGGCGGCCGGCCCATCCTCCCCCTACTACCCCAGGTTGTTGGTAGCAAGCGGCCTCTGGGAGAGGAGGGGCCCAGGGTTAAGGGGGAGCTACCTACCAGCCCCCCCTTGTCTTTCCCAACCAGCAAGTCCTGCTGCGATTGCGGATCGGACCACCCAGGCACCGGGGCGTCGCCGATCAGCATGTCGTACGCCACCTTCTAGCCCGCCCAACGAGCCGCCGCCCCCCCCTGCCTCGACCCCGCGCCACCGCCAACCGCCATGGGAGGCGGGGGGGGGCGGCGGCTGCTGCGGGGGAGGGGGGGGGGGGGGGCGGCAGTGATTATTAGCCCCAGCAACAACGCCTTCTCGAGCGACGCCTGCGCGCCACCAGTCGCCGGCAGGCCCAGCAGCGCCGCCCAGCGCTGCCCACCTGGGCCACAGGGAGGGCAGGGCGAAGAAGCAGCCCGCCGCCGCCGCTGCCGCTCGCTGCCGCCGCCAACCGCCGCCGCCGCCACCACCACCACCACTGCCGCCCCGCCCCAGTCACTGCCGCTCTGCTACCGCCACTGCCGCCGCTCCCGCCACCAGTGCCGCCACTCCAACGCCACCGCGACTATTGCCGCCGCCCTCTGGCCGCAGGTGGTCTGTCTACTAGCGAATCCCACCGGCCCTTTAGGGCGTAGGTGGCCTAAAGAGTTTCCTCTTCCAACCTCCTTCTTCCCCTTGGGAGGGT